CCTGCTGCCGTCGGGGAAAGGGTTTTGATGTTACGTTAATGAATTTGCGTTGTGTTTCTCGGAGAGAGAGAAAGGCTCACTGCACCATGGGAGCTCTCCCAGCGTGCTAGGCCTACAGCCACATAACTTGGTGATAGCTGGGGGTGAGGTTTCTGCTGTTAAAGCTCTGTCACGTCCCAGTTTATGTTCAGTGGAGGAGAAGGAAGTTTGTCGTGATGATGATGATGATGGTTTTAAGTTTGTAACCAGCGCTCGTTTGATTGGCCCTTCTTTCTTACTGTTCTGGCACCAATGTCAGAGTGTCAATTTTTTTGTTTTTTTTTTCCAGAAAATCCAAGCTACATGTTTGCCAAATATTTATCCAATCAGCCGTAGCGCGGAGTCACTCTGGTGTCTGTGCCTCGTCCACCTGCACTTACAAAATACATGAACTGTCTCTTTAATAGAGTGTGTGCTGGAGTGTGTTTACATATGCACGGTGTCCGCAGAGTCGGCGGAAAGTCGGGTAATTAAATGTTTAAATGCAGTGACTGACTTGAATATTAACCTCTGTGTGTGTGTGTGTGTGTGTGTGTGTGTGTGTGTGTGTGTGTGTGTGTGTTTCCTTCACAGGTTCATCCTGGTGTTTGGATGTCTGGTTCTGTCTGTGTTTTCAACCATCCCTGCACACCAGGAGTTTTCCTCACACTGTCTTCTTATCCTGGTACAACACACACACACACACACACACACACACTTCATCATGTCATGAATTATAATGTTTAACCATAAACTAATGCATTTTTGGAAAATTTTAGTGGCGCTGTGGTGAAGCGTTTATCACACCTGCCTTACTCACAAAAGGTCCTGGGTTCAAGGCCAGGTGGAACCACGTACTAGATCCTCCTCGTGTCAGTCGCCTACATGTAAATATAAATCAATACATCAGTCTACAGACCTCCAATGACCTGCCTGCAAAGACATGACGTTTGGATGCTACACAGGTTAGCATGTCTGTGTATCTGCAGTAACAGGCTGCCCTGCAGGAGGCGCCAAGCGTGTGGTTCCACCGGGGCTTAAACCCATGACCTTCTGCGTGTAAGGCACAGCTGTGACTTCAGACGAGACCAGCTGAGATCGAACATCAAACAATCTGAGAATTTAAATGTCACAAATTTAAATATCAAGTCTTTGAGATGTGAGAAACTCAAGAAGAAGAAGAAGAAGAAGAAGAGAGTGAACCGTTATCTGACCTTTATCTGTGACTTGTCTGTCCGTCCGTGTGTGTGTGTGTGTGTGTGTGTGTGTGTGTGC